TCCGCACTCCGATGTAATTTTCGTCCCTCACGCTCAAATTCGCAGTCAACCCCTGCAGCATCCAAGTCCCGTCCTGCCAACACCAGTACAAATTAATAAACTCTCCCCTCTACTATGTGGATATGATGTGCGATTGACATCTATGTTATATAATGGTTTTCAATTTGGTTTTCCCCTTCATTTTGAAGGCATTCGTATATCGTTTTTGCAACAAATCTTGTTTCGGCCCTGCAGAACCCGGAAATCGTTAGTGCTAAACTTTCGAAAGAATTAGCGGCGAATCGCATTGCTGGGCCCTTTGACAATCCCCCTTTTCCCAATTTTCGAGTCTCTCCGCTAGGCGTTGTTCCTAAGAAAACTCCAGGGGAGTACCGTTTGATTCACCATTTGTCATTTCCGAACGGTGCTTCTGTTAACGATGGGATTGCTCCCGAGCATACCTCTGTGAACTATGCTCGTGTCGATGATGCAGTTTCTATGATCAAGCAGCTTGGGCGCGGTTGTTTTCTTGCGAAGACAGATATCAAAAGCGCATTTCGTATTATTCCCATACGCCCTGCCGATTACGATCTCTTGGGTATTTTTTGGCAAGGCAAATATTATTATGATCGAGTTATGCCTATGGGGTGTGCGTCGTCATGTCGCACTTTCGAGATGTTTAGCACTGCTATCGAATGGGTTGCTAAGACACACTTGTCAATCGCGCATCTAATCCACATTCTCGATGATTATCTAATGGCCGCACCTACTTATCACCAATGTCGCATTGACCTTGTTCGCTTTTTGTCTCTCTGTGAACACGTAGGCGTGCCAATCGCTCCAGAAAAAACAATCGGCCCACACAACGTTCTTTCCTTTGCCGGCATTGAATTAGATACTTTGTGCATGGAAGCCCGCTTACCTTTGGATAAAACTGACAAATGCAAGCAGTTGATATCGGCTTTTCTTTGTCGCAAAAAGGTCACATTACGCGAGATACAATCTTTAACCGGTTTACTCAATTTTGCTTGTTCAGTCGTTGTCCCTGGGAGGGCCTTTCTCCGACGTCTTATTGATTTAACTAAGGGCGTACGGTGTGCTCATCATTTCATTCGCCTAACTAAATCGGTAAAGGCTGATCTCGAAATTTGGCAGTCGTTTTTAGCCAATTTTAATGGCCGATCGTTTTTTCTCAATGACATGTGGCATGACTCTGCTAGCCTTAACCTGTACACTGATTCTGCGGCTAGCTTCGGCTATGGCGCGCTTTTTGGTTTTGAGTGGTGTTACGGTGCCTGGCCCGACAATTGGAAAACTTTTAACATAACCATTTTGGAATTCTACCCAATCGTATTAAGCGTTCTTCTGTGGGGAGACCAGATGCGTAACCAGCGTATAACTTTTTTCACCGATAATGCGGCATTGGTTGATATTATAAATAAGGCTACTTCTCGTGATGTGACTGTTATGGTGTTTGTTCGACGCCTGGTGCTGGCTTGTTTGCAATTTAATATTCTCTTTCGCGCTCGCCATGTAGCGGGGGTTACAAATGTTTTGGCTGACTCCTTATCTCGCTTGCAGGTTTCGAAGTTCAAACGGCTAGCTCCGGTGGGCGTTCGGCCAACACCGACAGTCATACCGCCTCACCTTCTCCCACACAATTGGCCGCTATTACCTCGCGGTTAATTGGAAAATTAAACGAGACTTACCTGTAAGTTGAAGTTTGATTGAGATTCTATCACATGACTTTGGCAGGGGGATCACATGAGATAGCACTGCGCCTGCGCCCAATCACTCTTTATAACAACTTGGTCACGTTAAAGCCACCTCAATACCCCACAAATAACATAAAGTGCAAGGGCTGGGAATACCATGTTAATATGGTATAAGTAGGGTGGGCATGTGATCCCCCTGCCAAAGTCATGTGATAGAATCTCAATCAAACTTCAACTTACAGGTAAGTCTCGTTTAATTTTCCAATTCTATCACATGACTGGCAGGTTGGTATCACATGAGACTTTAAAGTTTAACGTGACCAGAAAATGCTGATCCTACAAGCGTGGATCAAGCATAATAGTATTAAACCACGACATAGACAAACAATTACATAACCCCAAAGGGTAAATTGTAATCCTAAGAAGGCTGTTAACAACCCCTTCTTCAACCTCCTAAAGGTTGAGAATATTAACATCAATAAGAACATGTAAATCATAGAGCCAGCATAATTAATCATGTTTATATTGTTTGGCCCAATAAGTTAATAAGTTAAACAGCTGTTTCGCAAATTCAGCTTAACATTGCCTGAGTTAGATCATCCTCCTCAACCACCGGTTTGTTGTAGAACCTCCTAAATGTGTTTTCTGAGGTCCATCCGGCAGTCCTCATAATTGATCCAACAGGAACTGACTTGGCATTAGCTTTAGAACAAGCAGCAGCACGCGTGCTGTGGGATTTGAAAGTGTTTGTATCAATGCCCGCATCATGAAGAACTATTTTCAACCACCGTGATATTGTGTCTCGTGATACTGGTTTGAACGGCTTTACATAACTCAACAGCACCTGGGTGTTCTCTTGTCTCACTTCCTCAGTCCGTTGCAGATACACATTAAGAGCATCGACTGGACAGATGTCTGCATCAGGGGTGAATCTTGAAAACCTTATACATTGGCCAGAGTTTCCAGGTCGACTTGTCTTTGTATGTTCTAGGAGTTGAAATGTGCATGAACTTTCGGTGAGAGTCATTCCTGTTATATCAAGCATAACAATAGACTGACCCCTCTGTGCAGTTACCAATGACAACAACATAACTAATTTAAGTGTCAGTTCCTTTAATGGTATTTCCTTATTAGGTGTAAGTGTTTTGAGGTATGTAAGAACTTTGTCAACATCCCATACAGTGTTATATTTTGGCACCGGCTTTCTGGTCAGAAAGACTCCCTTTAAGTATCTGGACACAAGAGGATGCGTACCAAATGTTTCTGATCCATGAATGTTAATGATTGTAGACAAAGACCTTGCTGTATTGATGGCTGAATAACTGAGACCAGCATTGTAGAGTGTTTGTAAGAAATTCATTGCCTGACTTAGTTCCGGTTTATATGGATTACCCTGTCTTTGATGACAAAAGTCCAACCACTTGGTAATGTAAGTGTGGTATTGCTTTTTTGTGTTACTTCGCCATGATGACATGATAACTTGGGTAACTTCTTCTGATAGCTGGAAGTTTGCCAGGGATTCCCTGATACAGGGCATACTATCAGCTTTAGCTTTGGGATTGGATGTGTTTTGTACTGTGGATGGCTCAACATCGTGTCTGGATGCTGGTTGAGGACCCATGGTTGACTGTGCAATAATTGCAACAGGGGTGTGAACCATGCCTGAGTCGGCCAAAGTGGGGCCACCAATATTCCTGTCGCTTGGTCCATCTGGATTTTTGAATGCAGCGTTGGATCAGACTAAAAGGTGGGAAAGCATAAAAGTTCATGTGTCGCCAATCAACTGTGAATGCATCAATGTATGTACAATAGGGGTCCGGCTCCCATGAGGCATAGGTCTCAAGTTGATGATTTAGTCGGCTTGCAAACAAGTCAACATTAATATTAGGATAGTTAATTAGTATCTGCTGAAAATACAACTTGTTAAGCTGCCATTCATGTTCATCTTTAAACTGTCTAGATCTTCTATCAGCTATAATGTTATGAACCCCAGGTATATGGGCTGCAGACACCCAGATGTTGCGAGTGATACACCAATCCCATAATTCGCATGCAAGCTGATTCAAATCCTCTGATTTGGAACCACCCATATTTTTAATGTACGCTATTGCTGTGGTATTATCTAATTCTAGTCTCACATGATTATCACCCATTCCAGGGCAAAATGCTTTAAGCCCAAAGAATGCAGCTCTGAGTTCTAGGGCATTAATATGTTGCTCTTGTTCCGCAGCTGACCAACGGCCACCTGTATTTTTCTCAGAGCATGCTGCACCCCATCCGGCTTTTGAAGCATCTGTCTGGATGGTAATTGAGGGTTTCCCATGTGTTATATGCTTTTGGGAAGTAGCTATGTTATCTAACCACCATTGTAATTCCTCACGGGACTTTTTAGATAGATTTACATGTCCCTGGTAGCTGCCTTTAGAGGCAGAAAGGGCTAACACTTTATCTTTTTCCAAATTACGATAGTGTAATGGCCCAAACTCCACACCTGGAAAATTTGCTACCAGTACCCCAATAACCTCAGCCAACTCTTGAATGGTGGGGTTCTGTTTGTTTAAAAGCAGCATGCAACCCTGTTCAGTTTTCATAATTTTATCAGGGGTTGGTGTAACAGTCATTGTTATAGAGTTTAATATAAACCCCAAAAACACAATAATTTGTGTCGGGTTTAATATGGATTTCTCCCGGTGTGGGGTGAACCCCACTTGTTCGAAAAGGCCTTTAGTTGCCTTGACATTGTTAGTGCATTCGGTTACTGTGTCTCCTAGCAGAAGAGAGTCATCAATGTAACCAAGGTTAGTATGCCCTTGTTCATGCAGTGTGGCATATACTGGTTTCATCAGTTTTGTGAATAGACGAGGGGCACTAGAGAGGCCATTAGGCAAGCAAGTGTACTGATATAATTTCCCATCAAATTTGAATTTAAGGTACTTCTGAAAATCATGTTGGACCGGTACACTATAATAAGCATCCTTAAGGTCAATGCTTGCCATAAAGCACCCAGGCTTCATGAGTTCAATTGCCACATGTAAGCTATCCATTTTAAAATGATGGTAAACAATATACTCATTTAATGCTTTTAAATTAAGAATCATTCTGTAGCTGCCATCCTTCTTTTTGCGAAGGAATATAGTCGATATAAATTCGTCTTGTTGGTGTGAGGATGCAACAATCACACCTTTGTCCAGAAGTTTGGTTACTTCTGTACGTATTAGTGCTGTTTCTTTGCCATTAAATATGTGGCAAGGTGCATTAGTTTGAACTGGTTGTTTACTGAATTCCAGTTTAACACCTGTCACAATGTCAATGATCTGACGGTCTTTTGTCAGTTGTTTCCAGTGTTGCAAGTAATGCTTAATATTACCAGCTCTAAAAGACATGTACGGTTGATCTATACTTCTTACCGTATTTAAGTGCGAAGAATCCGTGTTTACTAATTTTTTTCTGACTGTTGGTGTGTTGTTTTCGCCTGTCTTTTTGCTTCCCTCGGCCCCACCGAAAATCCCGATCACTTCGTGTTTTATTGTATGGGTTGTATCGCCTTTTAGTGGCATATTTCTGGTTGGTACTAGGGTAGGACGAGCTTGGACGATCCCGCTTGACTTTCTTTGCGACTTTGTTCGCCTCCTGGATGTCCTTGGTCAGTTTGGTCAGGTCGCCAAACAGCTCGTCAGAGGCAGGTGTGCTGGCGTTACATAGCGCAGCATAGTCATCATGAAGTTCTTTCTTCATGTGAAAGCGCCTGAGTGCATTCAGGTCATGATGGCACTGTATGGCTAGTGCTGCCGCGTCTGTAATGGTAGTAATAATTGTCTTGTCTAGATTCTTTTCTAGGGCTAGATCAGCGGCACGTAACATGGCCGCCACACAAGCCAACAGAACTGTCTGTGTTTTCTGTTGTTTTGAGTCATAAGTTCTAACCGACGTGGCGAGCTGTTGCCAAATTAATTGATTAACCCGTGGAGTTTTAAGCCCATTTATATTGTCGGGCCGTGGATAAAGATCCACTTTCGCCTGTAATTTGGCGTCAGGGAGTTTTTCCCCCAATAAAGATTCCACGATGGCGGCGAGCTCAGCATTGACAGCCTTGCCAGTTTGTTCTTTAATTTTCAGGTCAAGGGCAATTTCGCCCAGCAAGCCTTCAGACTCCGTAACATTTTTAGTTGAGGCTTTTTTGCGACTGGCGATTAATGAGTCTATGCGAGTGTCAATGGAAGGGGCATCCTTGGTTTGACTAGCGTCTGAAAGGTCCAACAGTTGTTCTTCTTCGGACGTGTCGAGCACGCTTTCGTCAGCAGAGCTATCGCGACGTTTACGCTTCTTCGTTGACGTTTGAAGCCGAGACATGTCCTGTTTCATGGCTGCCATTTCGGCACTCAGGTGTCGGATTGCATCCAACACAGACGACTGATTTTCGTCTTTCGAGTGGTTTGGACTTTCAACTTGTCCCGCACACTCCCCTTCGGCTTCGCCTTCAACATAAGCGAGCGTGTTTTCTGGCCGACTGGCAGCTTCTTCTGCCCGGCTGATGTGGTCAACATCAGAACGCCCTTGTCTGTGGGCGGCCATTGCTTATGTACTTTTCTAGTAAAGTGACGAACTACGTTCTGTCAAAAAGTACTTGATACAGTAATTATGTAAATCGCAGTGTGAATTGTAACGGAAAACAAAATCGCGCGTCTTTCCTCGTTGAACGCAAACCGTGCAGTGATTGGGCGCAGGCGCAGTGCTATCTCATGTGATACCAACCTGCCAGTCATGTGATAGAATTCAATCTAGTTTGCAGCCTTCGTCAATCCCTACCTATCGCAGGGCATGGAAACTCTACAATCAGTTTTCTTCTGCAGTTTTTCAATCTGCTTCAGTCAAACTGCCCATATCGCCTTCAGACTTGGGTTTATTTATCGCATTCATGTTTCAGCGCAATTATGCAGCCTCGACCGCGAATACATATGTTTCTGCATTAGGTTATTGTCACCGTTTAACGGGCGTGCATGACCCTACAAAGGTATTTTGGGTTCTCGAAATGTTGAAAGGATATGGTAAGCTTGGCTCCGGTGTTGATGCACGCCTTCCAATCACTATTTCTATCCTCCGCACAATTTTACAACAGACTTCTCTCGTTGCATCTAGTGAATATCGCGCACTTTTATTTAGGGCAATGTGTACGACAGCCTTTTTTGCCTTTTTGCGGGTTGGTGAAATAACGACTTGCCCACGGTCTCCCGGCGTGCTTCAATTATCTCAAGTGGTTCAGCTTGTTGATAATTTGGGCAATATTTCCGGTTTGAAAATCAATTTTGCGAACTTTAAACATTCCTACAATCAACCTCGTGTTTCTCTTACACTTCACCGCCGTTCCGATATTTGCCCTGTGCAGACATTACTCGACTATTTTGCGCGTCGCGGTTTATCCGATGGCCCACTTTTTCGCACTCTCGATGGGCGCGCAGTAACACGCAAACTATTTACTGAGCATTTGGCTTTGATTTTTCGTGCATGTGGTCTTGACCCTACTAAGTATAAGGGGCACAGTTTTCGAATTGGTGCAGCTACTTTCGCTGCGGAATGCGGTTTTTCTGACGCTCAAATCAGAGTAATGGGTAGGTGGAAATCCGACGCATTCCGCAAGTACATTCGTAGTCCAAACTTATCTTCGCGACCTATTTCGCATCATATGTCGACATGAGTAATTTATTGCCGTGCCTGGCGGGGGTTGACCTTGGCTGCACACCTCTTAGTTCGTACTTATTTCGTTATATCCCATATTCGTTGCAACTACGATAACTACGATGAGACTCATTGGTAATCGGGCGCAATGCTGATACAGGGGTAAAGCTAGCGCTCCTCTACCTCATATCACTATTTTCATATTGGCGACTCAGGTTGCAGATACTCGGCCGGTCAATGCAGGGGCACGACTGGTTGGAGATCTGTACCTTTTCCTTGCTGCGATTCTTATATGTGGGTTTCTTATATGCATGTTTTATATATTATTTGTTTTGCTGATTTTACAAGTCTGTCTGTGGATACCTTGTCATGACGGGGTGGGGTTTGTCTCCTTTACCCAAGGAGCCTTGTGGCGTTTAAATTAGCCCCACCTTTTCTGTGCAAATTGTTTAGTAATTGAATTTATTGTTTGTTGATTAATAATTAATTTGTTGTTAAGTAAAAATTAATAAATCGGCATGTGCGTTAGACAATTACGCACATTGCCAAAATTATTCCAACTCTGTGTCTGAGTTGTTTTTGTACGAGATCTAGAACACAGAAAACAGAGCTCGTCATGACAAGGTATCTTTTAGATATGAAGGGAAGCGATAAAGGAATTATTGGCATACCAATAAAGAATTTATTGCTTCCTGCACTTGAGACTTTATAATAAAGTAGATTAAATACTTTAGTTTGACGCGCAGGTAATTTCCCTGGAATTCTGATGACATATAGGTAACGTGTGGGAAAGCGGAGATGAGGGTCAGTATAGATAAAGAGCAGAATGTGCTGCCAATTCATTCTGCTCCTCGCTTCGACAAGGTCATTATTACAGCTATTATGAATCAAACCGGAGAATATATATATATATATATATATATATATATGTATTATAAAAATATATATTATATATACACATTTATATATTTGTTTATTTTAATACTGTTCAGACAGCTGCGCCGGTGTCCCATGTAAATAAAGTTAAATGTTCAATAAAAACGACAGAAAGTTCGGAGAATATATATATATATATGTATTATAAATATATATATATATAATATATATATAATATATATATATATATAATTATATATACACATTTATATATTTGTTTATTTTAATACTGTTCAGACAGCTGCGCCGGTGTCCCATGTAAATAAAGTTAAATGTTCAATAAAAACGACAGAAAGTTCGGAGAATATATATATATATATGTATTATAAAAATATATATATATATATATATATATATATATATATATATATATATATATATATATATACATTTATATATTTGTTTATTTTAATACTGTTCAGACAGCTGCGCCGGTGTCCCATGTAAATAAAGTTAAATGTTCAATAAAAACGACAGAAAGTTCGGAGAATATATATATATATATGTATTATATATATATATATATATATATATATATATATATATATATATATATATATATATATATATATATACACATTTATATATTTGTTTATTTTAAAACTGTTCAGACAGCTGCGCCGGTGTCCCATGTAAATAAAGTTAAATGTTCAATAAAAACGACAGAAAGTTCGGAGAATATATATATATATGTATTATAAAAATATATATATATATATATATATATATATATATATATATATATATAATTATATATATATATATATATATATATACACATTTATATATTTGTTTATTTTAATACTGTTCAGACAGCTGCGCCGGTGTCCCATGTAAATAAAGTTAAATGTTCAATAAAAACGACAGAAAGTTCAAAGGTGGCTAGCCTGCAACGCAGACTATATATTGGGGTATATATAGTCTGCTAATCAGCGGCACAAAGCTTGTATGGTCACGTGGGTTTCCCGAGAAATTGTGGGACTCATTTTGATTGGTTAGCTTATAATTATGCAAAATATTCAAAATTTCAGAATATTTATTATTTTCACAAACAACATGGCGTCCTTCATCGAACCATCTTTGCTCGAAGAAGGCACTTTTCGGAAGCTATTCGGATTGTATGCTGTTTTTTTCAAGTGGAAAGTCTTCATCGAGAGCAAGTCGAGGCACTCAAAGCCTTCTTACTCGGTAAGAATATCTTCTTTAGTGCTGGCACAGGCTACGGGAAGTCTCTAGTCTTCCAAGCGGTTCCTCTCCTCGCTGACCTTCTCGAAGAACAAGTCGTTGGAACCAGCATTGTCATCGTAATATGTCGGCCGCAATGTCGAGAGAACGCTTTCCTTTTACAAGATTTATATCTGACTTCTTTTCCAGCACAGAGGAACACAGCACGCACATCAACGCGGCCTTGTTGTCACAAATAATTATGCAATTTGCGCGCAAATCATATACATAATCATAATTATAACACCGGAAATAATTCGAACATTCACGTGACCATACAAGCTTCGTGCCGCTGATTAGCAGACTATATATACCCCAATATATAGTCTGCGTTGCAGGCTAAAAGGTGGCTGGTGCCCACAAATGTCGCTAAAAAGTCAATTATGATAATTTTGTTGTTAGAAACTGTCACTATGAAGAGAATATCAACGACAGAAACAGGAAAAACAAGTCATTCACTCCACACATTTCAAAGGGCACGTTGTATATGAATAGTATAATTATATCATTGCATCGTGCAGAGAGCGCAGTAAAGTGGAAAGCCGCAGAAGGGACAGCAGCAGATTATCCATATTATCTAGCCTTCCTCGAAATGCTAACTTTTCTTGCCATTTTATCGATGACTTTGTCATTACTAAAAGCTCAACCTTGTGCTTTAAGACATTTCAAAAACGTCAGCGTTGGTAAGTCAGTAATTTTACACTTTTGTGATCTTTTGGATCCCGGTTATCGACGGTAACTTTTTCATCGAGTTAACCCCATGAAACTTCTCAACTCAATTGTTTCCCATACTGATAGTTAGATTAAGGTGGCTCGATACAGTTTTCAAAAATTCCACTGTTCATCACTTTTTGACACGTTCAAACAACGCATTTTTATACTTTATCCAGAGATATTGGGGTTTTTATATATTTTGATGTTTCCACTTTTGAATCGTATTAGTTTTAGTAACAGATCGTCCGTTGCTATGGCGACATACGTGTACAAAATTCACTCCAAAATGACCAATTGCCTCGGATAGTTGGAAAAGAAGCACGGTGACCCCAATTTTTTTTCGGGCAATATTTTACTTGGAAGAAAAACTAACAATTAGCAATATTGGAAGGCCAAACTGAGTTTATGTTAAGTCCAAGAAAATTTTTTTTTAAACCGAAAACCTTCACGTTGATGACATTCGGCAAATGTTCTCCCAGTACAGAGGGCTCAGTTTTCCAGCGGTTTTCGCATAAAAAATTAAAAGTTTTTCGTTTTACCAACTGCGCTCAATTTTATGTAAGTTGTCCGCTGACAATATGAGCCCGCATGAGTGGGAGAAATTTATCTAATTTGGACCAGAGTGCTTTAGCTAGAGGTCCGTTTTAAACGTCGAATTTTCATGTACCGAAACTAATGTTAATGAGATAAAGCACTTGAAAAGGTTCGACGTCTGAAACGGCACTAATGGAACGTTTTTGAAATAGATATAATTTTCTATTACAGATTTTTTTAAACTTTTCTAAAAAATATATTCCTGATACTACCGGCTGACTTTTTCTTCAGTCTATATGACACTCATTATTTTATCGGGCGTCAGTGTTTGATTATCATCACCATTTTCCTGATGTAATAATTTTCATAAACGTTCTGGGAGTTCCCGTGAAAAAAGTATATAAAACAATAATGTAAACGTGGTGTAAAAAAACCCATCCCTTCCCGGCAAAACAGTTAACTTATATATAGCCATGCAGTAGTAATCAGGTTGACGCATGTGAAAACTTTCACGTGCAATTACTTGCATTATTATATATATATATATATATATATATATATATATATATATATATATATATATATATATTTATATATATATATATATATATATATATATATATATATATATATATATATATATATATATATATATATGGCTTTTTAAAATCCTCTATATAGTGATTGACGAGCGATCCGTAAAAACCGATATATGCGGACCGTGGCTCCAATAATTTTTATAATTATTCTGTATCCGGACCAGTATCCCGGATGTCTCATGCATTTTAGCCATATAATAAACAGATTATTGCTCGTCGCTTGTTTAGTCTGTACTGTGAATATTTGCATGAACCTCGCTCCGTCGTTGAGAGGTCCATATTATGGGGTTGTTTAGGCATGATCGAGCCCGGTTACCCGAGATTCACCGAAGCGTGAGAGGACTTTGAGAAAAAAATCTTTTAAAAATTTCAATGGGGACAGGAGTATTTTTAGTTTACCTCTTTACCCAATGGGTTGGCCTGTGCGCTTAGGTTGTTGACTAAACTATTAAAGCCAGTCTATTCCCATTTACGCGATCTTTGGGTCATATTTGTATGAGGCAGATTGATGAGTCACTGCTGAGTGCTGATAGGGTACGATTATGCAGCATGTAAACAAAATTTGTCTGACACAGTTCAATAATCAGTTAGAATTGTCTTGATGCTGAAACTTGAGAGCAAAGAGCAATTTTCCACAAAAGAAATTGAAAAATAAATAAAAAATAAACTTGGAAAAGCTAAATTTGACGTCATTTTTAAGATACGCTTGAATATATTTAACAACTGAATGAAACAATTACCCTGCAAGAACTCCCTATAAATGTATATACCATCAGTGCAAATAGGAATAAACATAGTTACAGAAAAGAAAATATGTAGTGCTAAATTATGCTACATTACATTACTTAAAGATAATCAATTAGCTATATGCAAATTGTACTGTATGAATTATTTAGATACAGCACTAAACAACGATAACTCCATAGAATGTAAGCATTATTCGATTTTAGTGTCATCAATTAAAGTGTGTTTCTTTAAACAGTCCATCTGACCAGCGTTTATATAGCAATTGATGCGACAGTTCTTCAGTAGGAATAGTATACGGTTAATTTTTGTTATATTCTATATATGCTCTATTACATTGTTGAAATTATACACCTGGGCCAAACAACCATAAAACAAATATAGAATTTTGCTACATTAGTCACAATATTTTAAAGTTGGCAGATGTTTAGTTCCTCCGCGATATGCTACAAATATTAATTTTATTACGCTAGTGAAACTTGTAAACCTATCCTGCATGAAATTTATTTTACTGCTTTTAGGTTGTGTTGCCAGACTTGCTTGATCTTCGGCATGATCTTCGTCTGCCGTTATGAAGCAATCATGACGAGCAAATGATTATTAATTTGAGTGATTTCATTCATATATTTATTCAGGATTTGTACATTATTATTAAACTTCAAAACCTCACATGTTCCAATGGCAATCCGTTACCGTGCATGCATGTGAATGGGGCTTTAGTCTCTTGCAAAATTATAAACTGTCGGTAGTTTTTAACCACAAAGTTTTTTAACAAGCGATATAAACCAATTCTTTGCGATCACGAAACTAGATAAATCCATAAATTAGCCTTGGTTTTTAATGTCCGAAAAATTTGGCCAAAACAGTGTGTCATCAACATGTCTTATACATGTTGCCAGTAAAGGTTTTCGTTTCTCAATTTCTAAAAAAACGAGTTTTGGTTTATTTATATCAATTTTTTCCAATTATAAAACATTATACATCGTAAATATAACGCATTCGCTGGTAATACGATAATTTCTGGTGGTGATTAAAAATGAAGTCAAAACGCACATAGAATGATACCTTACATTACTCGTTATCGTTATTTGGTCTTTAATGAAAATACTCAGACTTCCCTTATAATATAGATAATTATAATGTCTACACTGGGTGCAGGAAAAGGAGTTTTTTTAGAAAAGAAATACTTTACAGATATTTCAGGTTAGTGCGATTGCATTGGTTGTAAAATAATCAATTAAAACATTTTTTAGCATGGAACATTAGATAGTGGGTTCGATACCGATAATACTGGCGTGTCAGTGGAAAACAAAAACGACACAAAAACAAAGGTCGAGCGATATCAAATTATCATAGCACGATAGTCACCTAATGGGACGAAGTTCTTTTGTCACAGTGACCAATGAAATAGCCATGAAACAATTACATCCTTTTGGATTAAACAAGTACAATGTACGGGACGTTGCTTAGCTATATTTTGCATAAAACTTCGTTTCTTTAAAATCGTCGTGAAGTTGTCAGATATTTGTTGACGTTTTTAAAAGAATGTAGGCCTACTAATCTTCTGCAACGGATTTTTTTCAAATAATCACGTACCTTAATTGTATGAAAACGCATTAATTATAATATTCGCCCCAAGCATAAAGCCATGCAGTAGCGTAGCCAGCCTGCATGGTGTTTAAACCTATCTTAAGAATTATGATTCAGAAATAATTTTCTTCTTTCATGTAGCAGAAGGACCTAAAATTGGCTCCTTTTCTCACAAACCCCGTGTACGACATTGGTCGTGATAAAATGAATGGAACGTAAAAATTAATAATATATAAAAAACACCCGACAAAATATTTTTTGCCTTCAAATAATGTTCGATTAATATATGATTATCGTTAATGTAAAATTATGTAAAATTCATACTTAGGAATATAAACTGGATTTATTCATCTACGATGCATGTCGAGCTATGATGTCCAATTTAGCTACACACTCGGGAGCAGCTAAACGCTCTTTTGGAACGGTTGACCAACACTCCTTTATAAGTGACCCATACTTTTCTGCAATACCCCCTACGGCGTTGCATTTTGGTCTGTAGCCAATTGCAATCAACTCGCGAAATCTCTTGAATGACAGATTGTGAAGCTCACTGTAAACTACCTCACCACCATACCACATCTCCCACAAGATCAGCCCGAAACTGTAAATATCAGCACTGGCATCACAAATTTTGCCAGAAAATATTTCTGGGGCCATGTACACGGGTGTTCCAGCCATCGTTCCTGTAACTTCTGTTACATCCTTCGAAATACCAACATCAGCTATTTTCATGCAATTGTCTTTCCCAAACTGACAAATAATTTAAAAAAATATAATGAATAGAAGAATTACAATGAAAATATGATAAAAATATAACATTCGGCAGTAGATAAAAACTTATATCAAACTACAATAATATCACACGCCTCTTTTTGTAAAGTTTTTATTTACTGATGAAGCCCTAACCGATGAAGTCCTAACCGGCGAAACGTATTGAAACACAGATGAGGTATAGATCTATATTAAATATAATCCATACATGTCCAATACTGTCGCATGCATACGGATCGACAACCTTTTTCACCATTCGTAAACTACATTTTCGTTTCGTGACACTTTTCACGGATCGATACTGATGGTAAAACGGGACATACAAACGGACTGACGTACGAACCGTACGCGAATGGAAAAAAAACAGTTACCATCTGTAAATTTATGAACGATTGCGCTCCTTTGGAGAACGATATACGAATGAAAAACTTTCATATACCAATCGTAAAAAATTCATCACATGCAGCACCGTTTCCGCTATACGTCTAACCTCCTGTGGAGTACGATATCCCCATACACGAAACGACTGTCGATTCGTACCATCCGTACCAACCGTACGAATGGAAAACGTGCATTTACCAATCGTATAAATAACACCGTTTCCGCCATACGCATAGATCCCTTTTGAGGACGATACCAATACACGAGTTTTTTAAATAACTCGCTAGATATCGCTTCAATATATTTTACCCAAGATATGCCTTATCAATTAAATAGACTATTTACTGATATATAATATTCCTCGTTCTCAAGAAAAATACGAGCGATATAACATGTTGTTATTAAAAGCCGCGAGATATCACTCCAATATAATTATATAGCGCACAAGATATGCATATCTATCAGTAAAATAGAATACTATTTAGGTATATGTAGCATTCCTCGTTCTCAAGACAAAAACGAGCGATATAAGCGCATTCTCGATAAAAGCGATCAAACGCAAGCATTCTCGATAAAACCTGCATGCATGTATGCAATGTTCCCCGGCATGCAATAACTGTATATGCGTCATACATCACAAAGCTTTACTTTATACTAAATACATGCATGCAGTACTCAAGATAACTGCCTGTATATCAGTGTTAATTTGTATATGTAGCTAACATTCCTCGCTCTCAAAAAAAACCACCAACGATTAAATAGTGCATGTATATTTTTAATGGAAAACTTTCATTTACCAACCGATATAGACATAGTCATAGATTCCCTTGGAGTATGAAATCAAAACACTCATTGTAAAAAAACTCCGCTAGATATCACTTCAACATATGGTACCCAAGATATTCCTATGAATACAATAGTCTAATTATATATGATATTCCTCGTTCTCAAGAAAAATACGAGCAATATAACATGCGTTGTTATTAAACTCCGCAAAATGTTAATGCATTATATATAGTAGCACACAACAAGATACGTCTATTAGTAAAATAGAGATATCTTTAAGTTAAAGACAAAACGTTAGAAATGTATTTTTTCAAACTCTGAATTGTTTTGATGGCTTTCATAATTTTATAATGTTCGGCTCTCATATTTATCATAAGAAGTTCGCTTTCTGCCTAGCAAATCTCTAGCTACGATATTAAAATAGACTTGTTATATGTAGCTACTATAGCGACGAAACAATTCATTCGACAATGACATAAGGAGGGCAGCCGTTATTGAAAAGGAACAGCGTTAATTTAAACGTATCTTTATCACAAATTGTCTTCGATGGACAACTTTTTCGGAGACAAACCTTAGTCGCATCACTCGCATGGTGTTAAATTATTTTATTTACAAATGAACAAAATCTGTTTACGGATCGTAAACGAACAGTCTATTTGATACCAATGGTACGGATCGACAACCTTTTAAGAGTCCTGTCCTAGACACATCTCGCCCTATTTACGAATCGACACAGTACGTTATTATTATTATTATTATTGAAACTTTATTTCATGAGGGGTTCACATTGTTACCTTAAGGTATTCTTCCCAATGGCCCTCGAAAGGTAATATGAAAGGTTTCATCGCGAGAAACATTGGCAACGAATGATATGCTTGCATACAGTGCAGCTAAATTCATTAACATGGTCTACTTCATTGTTTAATTGAAGAAAAAAGGTTTTAAGCTTTTTTTTAAAAGAGTTAGGTGAATAATTTTCAACGATTTTTAACTCAGAAGGTAAAGAATTGAATAGACTTGCACCACTATAAGATATCTTAGATTTAGCCTGCTCGGTCTTGACTAAAGGGATCTTTAAGTCAGTCATTGTCGATCTAGTTTGAATTGGATGACAGTCGCGAACGTAAACAAACAACCTTCGAAGATCTGGTGGCCAAGAAGTTTTTAAAGTATTGAAAACCATAAGAATTTTTCTCATTTTTATCAAGTTGAAAATAGGTATCCAATTAAGTTGGCGGAAAAGTAATATTGAGGGTACTTCGGTTGGTAATTCAAGAATTAGTCTTGCAGCTCGTTTCTGTAGTTTTAGTAGGCACGTTATTAGTTCTTTATTTGCGTTTCCCCAGAGTGTACAACAGTATAATAGATGTGGGTAGATTAGTGCAGAGTAAAACTGAATACGACATTTTAGAATAAGGTGACTGCGTATGCGTTTTAATAGATATAGTCTAGAGTTTATTATTTTATTATGTTGTAGATAGTGTGAATTTGCCTATCCCATTTCAAATATTGATCAAATGTGACACCAAGTAGAACAGCAGAAGAGATTTCCTTAATAGTATGGTTGTTGATCTCAATAGTTATTGGGTCAAGATCTGAAAATTTGTGTTGGGAGAATATTTTCATAATTTTAGTCTTTTTCGAATTGAGGGACATTTTGTTGTGAGTAGCCCAATGTGACACTGAAGTAACGTCCGACTTTAGGGAGTCACTAAGTTCGCGGACATTAGTTCCGGAAGAAATAATAGTAGAGTCATCCGCAAACAAAAAGGGCTTGGACTTGTTGATGTGGATGGGTAAATCATTAATAAAAACCAGAAAAAGAATTGGGCCTAGAATAGAGCCTTGGGGCACGCCAGATTTTATCATCGCAGGATTTGATAGGGATGAAGAGATTTGTACTTGTTGATAGCGGTCATTCAGGAACGATTTGAACCATCTTAACGCCAAGGGTGTAATTCCATATTGTTTTAGTTTCTGTAATAATATGTCATGGTCGACTAAGTAAGGATCGTAAACTAAACGAACTGTCCATTCGACAGCAATGGTACGGATCGACAAGCTTTTCATAGACCTGTCCTAGACACATCTCACCCTATTTACGAATCGACACAATACGTCTGTTTACGGATCGTAAACGAACCGTCCATTCGACACCAATGGTACGGATCGACAAGCTTTTCATAGACCTGTCCTAGACACATCTCGCCCTATTTACGAATCGACACAGTACGTCTGTTTACGGATCGTAAACGAACAGTCCATTCGACACCAATGGTACGGATCGACAAGCTTTTCATAGACCTGTCCTAGAAACATCTCGCCCTATTTACGAATCGACACAGTACGTCTGTTTATGGATCGTAAACGAACAGTCCATTCGACACCAATGGTACGGATCGACAAGCTTTTCATAGACCTGTCCTAGACACATCTCGCCCTATTTACGAATCGACACAGTTTGTTTACGAATCGTAAACGAACATTCAATTCGATACCAATGGTACGGATCGACAAGATTTTCAGAGACCTGTCCTAGACACATCTCGCTCTATTTACGAATCGACACAGTCAGTTTACGGATCGTAAACGAACCATCCATTCGACACCAATGGTACGGATCGACAAGCTTTTCATAGACCTGTCCTAACAAAATCTCACCCTATTTACGAATTGACACAGTCTATTTACGCATCGTAAACTAACAGTCCATTCGACACCAATGGTACGGATACAGCTGCTCTAAGTTGGTGTAAGATAAAGAAACCCACAAGATCACATATCTTAACGCCATCAAAGCTTCCCCTTGGTAACTTCAAACAATGATTCGTTGTTTTTCTTCACCCAAGTTTGTCCTCGGTTGAATAATACTGACTTTAATTCGGGCGTGTTTTATGATTTCTATGTGATCTTCGGGAATTCTTATAAGCGATTGGGCCCATTTAATAACTCGGTTAAGGAAGTCTTCGGTGATGGATGGATTAAATTCAACATTGTCGAAGGAAAAGAATGTATGATTGGGTTTTTCTCTGATACCATGAAACCATTCGATTACAAATAGTGAGTTTTTCCATTGGTCTACATTAATGGTGGATTTCATCTTGTTATTTATATCGCCAAGTATTAATTTACTGACTTTTCCAAGTTCGCTCTTTGCAGGGTTGATGATGCGACATTTAGGATTCGTATCAAAGTTCATAATACGTGCATAATACGTGCATAATACGTGCAGATGAAAACAAATGCTTAAACAAGCGCTGTGAACCGTTTTCAAAATGCTGCCCTATAGGAACAAGTTTAATGCCTGAGAATTTAGGCGCGCGCACAAGCATAAGCGCGTGAGAGACGAGTAACCGTTGGTGCATGACGTAATCAATATGTTATTGACTGAGCGAGAGGTCCGTACAGGAGGATACTGGTCGAGTTCTTTTTTCGCTTGTATAGACCGAGCCTTTAGGCAAGGTCCCTACAAGCGAAAAAAGAACGAGACCAGTATCCTCCTGTACGGACCGAACAAGCTCAATCAATAAACTATTTATTATATGACTAAAAACGATTAAAATTGCCGACTAAAAAATTCCCGCCGAACCTGGCCGGTCCGTACTGTTGGTTACCGACCGCTCAGGAACCAATCAGAATGCTTGATTTTAGTTGATGGACCGATCAACTATTCTAGTCATATAATAAAATATTTTATTATATGTGTATAGAAATTTATGCACAGCAGGATGAAATAAAAATCGTATTTCACTGTGTAAATTAATTTCATGCAATTTGATTGGACGTACGATGTTTTTAACGTGTGAAAAATGCCATACACGGCTTTTGATTGTACGATATTCTTCACGTACGATATTCTTCACACGTGAAAAATTGTCGTATGTCATTTTGGCGGCAATTTGTTTACATTTTCTTTCAAGATGGCGTCGAAATATAGGAGTGAGATTCAAAACATAATTCTCATATTCAAGATATTTTTACATTCAGCACATCTCATATCTTTCGGGAAGAATGTCTAATTTCTATTGAACAAAATTACAAAGAAACTGAACGGTAATAAATATGTTTTTATGCATAAAGTTTCGATTTTGTTGCTCGCTGTGTTTTTGCATATTAAAAGCGTGTCGTTGTCAAATTGATCTCTATACACATTTAATAAACAAATTACTTCATGGTTGGCTCGTTTGTACGATTTTTATTAATATGCACTCGTTGTGAAGGATCGCAAACTCACTCGTTCGCTGCGCTCACTCGTTCGTATTGCGATCCCTCACAACTCGTACATAAAATCGTACGCACTCGCCAACCATGAAGTAATCTCTATGTATTGAATTTTTGTATAGTCGTCTGATGATGCTTCATAGCTTAGCGTGAAAGACCGTGTAGCGACGACGGCTTTATTTTGAGATTAAAGAATTAGTTAACTATCATATATATCATCAACTTTTGACTCATTTGAATAATTTCATAATAAAATTATCAGCTTTATTTAATAAGATCTGACAGCTCAGAAAATATTTCATGCATGCATGCATGTATTTCTATGTATTTGTAGGCGATTTCAACAAGCTTGTTAACATCCCAACGGGAGGCAGCAAAACTCTTGATATTGTTTTTACCAATCTTTATGATTTCGATTCCATAAGCCTGGAAGATATGGGCTTTAATTCCCCAAAGATCTTTCTCCGGAAATTACAGAAAATTGTCATAAAGAAAAAGGTTGCGTATTCCTGTGCAGAGCAACTGTTTTAGAATGCATGGTTTAAACTGTCTTGGACTACATTATGTCTTTACGTACAAGCACAGTCAGAATGTTTTAACCTTTAAACTTCTTAAAGTAAAGAAAATCCAGGTGTTTTTCTGTTATGGCACCCGAAAAGAAACTACAGAATACTATACCATAAAACCATAAAGCATATCAATAAATTACGACAGATTATTGCAATGACAAATTTAACTTACCAGGATGTTTTCTGGCTTTAAGTCCCGATGAACAATACCAAGGCCATGCAGATATTCAAGCCCCGCCGCAATATCCTTTGCTCTTTGTAACACAGATTTAATTTTTTGAACTACATTCTTTGCTGTTGCGTTCGCTGGAATACAATCTGGATGGTCAAGAAAAAATTTTCTTAAACTTTCTCCACATAATTCCATCACGAAGACAAATTTCGAACCACTCGGACCAGGCTGCAAAGTTCTTCCATAAAACTTTATTACATTCTTGTGGTCAAGTTTTCTGGAAAGAGCAAAATAATTATATCACTCAGAATGCAACGAAGCCGGCGTGATCAAATACTGGTGCAACAAAGCATTGTTTAATTTCAATGAATTTTAAGGCAGTGTTGTTGTAAAAAATAGAAAAACGTATTCTTGGAAACATATTATAGGATATGTGACCTTCCACAGGAAAACATACGTTAACGCTATTTCGTTCGTTCGAAAATATCGTTCGTTATCCGTTCGTTTGCCGTTCAAACGCTTGAAGCGTTAGATGAAACGATTTTCGAGATCGTTCATCGTTCGAAATTGCCCGTTCGAACGCTTTGGAAAAAACGTTTGAAAATTGGTCTAAAAGCGTTCAACCGTTTGATTTACCGTTCGTTGAAACGTTTGCCGTAATTTCGTTCAATCGCATTGGATTTGGTTCAACATATTAGATTATAAACATTTGCAATGTTACAACTTTGTAGAAGAAGCGCAGAATGTGCTACACAGAAATACTCCCAGAAACGTATTCAGTTCCTTAGTAGAAGGCTTGTAAAGGAAATAGTGAGGTTATATCGTTTTAGCCTAATCGAATGCTATTTTGTGCGCTTCATGTTATGGTTTATGCCTAGCGTCATGCAGACATGAAGGCAATTAACACTCAGTGCATGCAATTATTTCATTAGCGTCAAATTTCACGTCGTAAGCTTTCTTTCAAAAATTTATCGTTTTTTGAATTTCGGTAATGCACTAAATGGTTAGAATTTGTGCTTTACTATACTTCTGTAGCTTCCATAAGCCAAATTTCACCGCGCGCACAAACAACCTCTCAAGCCATATATGAGTCTGGGTTTTTGTCGAGGGTCGAGGGTCCGAAGTCGAGGTCGAGGGTCCGAAGTCGAGGTCGAGGGTCGACATATTGCGTTAAAAAGGCTTTGCGCGTAATAATGAAACTTGTAATGAATTATCGTCATTGCTACTGTATTATTCAAATGTGCGTTGAATCATTTTAGTGAAAAACACATCGTAATTTTAATGAGTGATAAGATTTATATTGCAAAGATATCGCTTCGTTTAAACCTTAAAACGCCTTTCAAAGTTGCCCTCACGAAGGCTTGGGTTAGCTGACCGACCGAGAGACTCAAGATCATATGGATTACTATAAATACCTTTACTTTCATTACTGTGTATCAAGAATGTTTTTAATTTCTCTAAACTGGAATTTTCGCGAGTCGTTTCGGCATCGGGGTGTATATGCCCTGGCAAGGTGCTAATTAAGTTGCATAATTGTCGGAAGTCTCTAAATGTATGTAAACAGACAAAACCAGATTTTAATATGAATGAGGGATTTTGCGTGTTACATATTAATATCGTACTTGTAAACCATGTGTATATAGCTAAATTATTTACATCTGATAAACTTATCTAGCTGGGCCTCCGTACGAAGCAGCTACTGATTAAAATCTATTCAAAATTAAGGACCGCATCCTAGGACGGACATTTCAGCTTGAAATTCGTTGTTTTTAATGCAGTCTGACATAGCTACAAATTATACAACAATTGAAATACCCTAGCCAATATTTGAAGACATAAATACAGTGACCTAACGCGCGTTCGGTAGGGTTACAACGAGAACTAAGAGATCCCCATTTATTGGGGGCCAGGATAGATAACGAAACATCATAGTATAAGCAAAACGTGATTTATGAGAAACAGCGAATTAAGGGACCCCGCAGTACCAAGTATACCTCAAGACCCCATCCTCAGCTCTGTTCGTTACGCCACTGCATGAATATCATAGCAATTCAAATATGTACGTGCATCTAGTCTAAAACTGGAGCCGGAGAAACAAGATCCTCAGTGCCCCGCTTACAAAATTGTCTTATTTCCTTAAAAAGGTATCTTTGTCTCCCCAGATCTAAGCCATCTGGCTCGATCGTTGCTGACATTTCAGCACAATTCACTCCCCATGTATATTTTGGTTGTAATTTGATTTCTCTCGACTTGCTTCTCGAATCGGAAACGTGGAACGCGGAAAAGGCTCAAAGGGTATAAATGGTAGAGACTGTATGAAAGTAATGAACCTATATCAATGATGTTCATTGTGTGACATTGTTTATTACAAAAAAAATTCCGTGTTTTGTGAGGTTGAGTTTTGCGCTATGTTTTAAAGTGCGTGCAGTCCTTCCTTGCGCACAACTGGGCTGACACAAGCCCAAAGGGAAAGTTGCCAAGCTAACGTTTACAAACATTTAAGTTTAACCTTTCAGATATTTTGCTATATACATATATTTTGCTATATATAATTCATCAGAAAAGGAGCATTGGAATTTATCTTGCTTGGACAAAATATCAGCTGTTGAGCAACAGGAAAATTTTCTCTAATTTTGATTTGGGCTCCCTTGATTAGAAATTACTTTCCGGATATTAAGTTGCAATTATGCATGGTCATTGCACCTTGAAGCCTGCCAGCTAGAGCGGCAAAATGAGCAAATTTGAAATGGCGCCTATCAACTGTTTATGCGTGCATGAGCGCACGGGTAAAGATCTTTACCAATAATTTCACGAAGACTGTCCCAAATATTTGCTGGATATTAGCATCTATGGAGAAGTCAAGGCGTTTTAACGCGTGCATATATAAAGGCTAATAGCAGGTATGAACACTAAATGAAACATTAGCTATGATATAAGGAAAGTCATGACTGGGCCACTTTATCAGGCGCGCTTGCAATTATTTTCCTCCAAGCATTGAAATCAGGCTTATCGATGAGATCATCAACAGAATTCGTATAACGGTTGGCTCGATTTAAACTAAAGTTTTTTTCCCTTGAGTGTATTTGCTTGGCTAAACTGTAGCTCTCTATTGACCATGCATATATCGAAATATGACACGCATTCGAAATAAGATTTCATATAGATGATCATGCAATTGTATATAATAAGACGTTCTCAATTGCATTTTATGTATATCTTAACGCGAGTAAAATGTATTCGGATATAAATGCGCACTGCAATATAACCCTTTAGATTGCTTATCATGGCCGGTGAAATCAAGTTGGGCTACGATCATCCAATCATTCCGAATAAACATGGCATGAAAGGTTGCCAGACCGTGAAAATGGCTTGGCTGAGGTTAGAAAAGTTGTTAGCTTGGGCCGTGGTGGTTACAATTTATAGGATGCATTTACTTACATTGAAACAACAATTGTTTACAAACTTTGCTGACATTTTTCATAAAAAAAGGTAGATGCTACCTCGAAATGTATATAATTATATGATATAAAAAGATTTCGCCAGACAAAATGGATTAATGCTTTCATGCATGTCTTATAATCTTGATTAGTTAATTTTACTGTAAGCAGGAGGCACAAATTGTGGTCACAAGTAGATGTCTCGAAGATGTTGAGGATCGTTTGTTTCTTAAAATGGTGAGTATAAACTCCCCTGTGCATTCATTTGGCATTGTCGTTTCTATATGGGCGTCTGCTATTGCTATATGCTTTAGTGAAAATACTGTGCAATCTCTTCTTGCTGCCGGGGTTGAGTATTAAGTTGTTTGCAGGGCGGAACTGAATTCGGACCTTCGAGATTTCGGATTGCCGGCGGTCGTTTGAAATGAAGATTTCAAAAATTATCCCATTAATTTACGCGTTCTATTTATTTAGGTCACTATTGTTAGGCTCATGCAGGTAGCATAGGTATTTACACAGTTAACTATGTAGAAGGTCGAATATTTGGGGGGAAAAAAAATATTTCCTGATGAATATAGTGACCACCAAGAATTTAGTTAGCTAATTTAATATCACAAGTATTATCGATATACTGGTTCATAAGTCATAACACATGCATATGTGATCGTATGGTCACAAAACATATCACTTACAAAACATATCACTTAGCTTTGCGAAGAAAATATGGCGATGGTGCATGCAGTCGATAAAATAGATTATTATCATAATATTCTTAAGGTATAATGATGCCCTTAGTTGCTACTGACAGTACTGTGTATAGGCGACATTCCGCGACAAGCTTGACCGCAGCTAGAGGCTATTGCGCACGGAACATATTGTGTGCACTAGGTAAATATCCAAGCTTGTATTTTAAATATTCTATCACCGCGCAATGCATTGCTGAAATTTAAATGTGTATTTTCACGTGCATAAATGGTTTGGATATTTAATGTAGTAGGCTATTTATACCAAATAAGTTTTGACAGCATGCAAGCATACGTTACTACGCTGGTTCGCATACAAACGAACTTTGCGTATGCGATATTCTGTATAACTGTTATTAATGTCTGGTTATCATCTGTAAACAACTTGACCTTGCGCTAATTAATTTAGCCGTTTGCGCGTCAAAGAGTATAAGCAATAGTGTACAATGGAATCTCTTGTGTTTAGCTTAACATACAATATGTATCCAGTAGCTGAAACTCAACAAAACTGAGACGGTGACCAATGACATTGCCTATGATATTATTATCGAAGCCAGGCCATTTATTGCAATCTTCGTTTACTCTCGGTTTAGAGCCGTGTTAATAAAACGGATGTATGCATGTTGTGTTTATATGTCCTTAACCACCCATACATATAGTTTGTCCGTAGAGAGATTTACAACATCTGTAACGTTGTTGCAAATAAACACGCGCTGAATATTTTGATGGGTATAGTTGCAGATGATGCATTGATTAATTTGACATAACGATGATAATTTGTACTAATAACTGAAGGCTTTCTAACGAATAAACCCGAATTTTGATGCAAAATGCAAATGTATATATGTATATAAAGTATAAAATAATGTGATTTAGGTAGTTTAGCTGATAAATTTAGTTAAACATTCAAATGAAGGTATAGCTATTTATATGTACACGCATACTTGCGCCAACACATGTTACGTGTTTGAAAATGTTTCCTATTAGTCAATAATATCTTGCGTCAATCATACGCGCAACAGGCGTTCAGACTAATTCGTTAAAACCGTTCATAAACATAAAACGTTCAAACGGCTTCAGATTGAACGTTTATTTATCCGTTCGTATTCTCGACTTTAAACGTTCACATTTTTAGCTGAATTCGTCAAAACGTTTTTTTGGTTCGTTGAAACGTTATGACAGATCGTTCACTACCCGTTCGTTATCCGTTCGTTTTGCCGTTTCAACGAAATATCGTTAACGTACGTTTTCCCGTGGAAGGTCACATATAAGAATATCATATAATACAAAAATACGTAAGGACGAAAAATAATCACGTTAATATAACTAATAATAACTTAAACCTTGATCCACCCGCATCTGATACACAACAATCAAATCATTCCACAGCGACCATCCCTGACAACGATATGATGTCAACCATGACAACGCATCCCTCAACTACCACTCATATCAGATCAAATTAGCTAAATTAGCTAAATTAGCCGCCGAAATTGAAAATTATTCCTTGGACCCAAGTTGGTCAGAAAATGTCAATTCCCAATCAGATATACAATTTAGATTTTCAGAAATTAATGTGTGTGAATTAATGTGTGCATGATGTATTCCTTCAGTTATATAGACTTAAAACATCAAAATCGACAGGCATTGATACTATTCCAGCAAGGGCACTCAAAATTTCAGCTGAAGTAATTAGCCCATCATTAACGTGGATATTTAACCTCTCGATTAGAACTGGAATCTATGTAGACGAATGGAAAAAAGCTTGCGTTCTACCGATTTTTAAATCTGAAGACAGACAAAAATGCGAAAATTATCGCCCAATTTCAATTTTACCAATTATTAGCAAAATTTTTGAGCGTTCTGTTTTCAACCAATTGTATGAATTTTTGAGTGAGAACTCTTTGCTTTCTAAGTATCAATCTGGATTCCGCCCAAAGAATTCGACTTTGACTGCACTTATTCAAATGTGTGAAGCATGGTACGAAAATATAGATAATGGCGACTTGAATGGTGTAGTTTTTCTTGATATTAGGAAAGCTTTTGATTCAATTAATCACAATATCTTATTGCACAAAATGAAAGAACAATTTGGAGTTTCAAATATTGAATTGAAGTGGTTTGAATCTTATATTTCTGATAGGGAACAAGTATGTTTTGTCAACGGCACGATATCAACGCCAAAAAAGATAGTCTGTGGGGTTCCTCAGGGATCCATCTTAGGATCATTATTGTTTTTACTTTACATTAACGATCTCCCAGATTGTCTCGATAACACCACCCCGTGCTTATATGCTGATGATACGCAGATGTTTTCAACAGCAAAGGATTCAGCAGAACTTATCTCCAAGTTAAATAGCGATTTGAATAAAATCAGCCAGTGGCTCAAAAGTAACAAATTACAGCACCATTCAACCAAAACTAAATTTATGTACGTTGGATCAAAGCATAATCTTCTTAAGATCAATGATGATATTCCTGTAATGCTAAATAGCAAACCTATTCCCAGAGTATATTCAGTCTCTTGTCTGGGCGTTACCCTTGACGAAACATTAAGTTGGGAAGAACACATTGAAACGATTTGCAAAAAAGTTGGGGCAGGTATAGGAACGTTAAAACGCGTCAAGCCCTATGTTCCTGGAAACATGTTGCAATCGATTTATAAAGCTTTGATACAACCCTATTTCGATTATTGCTCTCCCCTTTGGGATACCTGCAACAAGACATTGAAAGATAAGCTGCAAAAATTTCAAAATCGGGCAGCTCGAATAATAGCTGGCGCTAGCTATGAAATTAGGTCTGCAGATATTCTTCGGGCACTTGACTGGGAAAATTTAGATTCCAGACGAAATATGACCAAGGCAGCATTATTATATAAAATTTTGAATGATAATACCGCACCTAATATGAAAGAATTATTCATCAGAAGGAATCTTTTGCAAAATAATTATGACCTCAGAAACTGTCACATTGATTTGGCTCTTCCAAAACCGAGACGCGAATTTCTGAAAAAAAGTTTTAAGTACAGTGGTGCTAAACTTTGGAATAATCTTTCGCAAGAAGCTAAGGAAGCGCAATCTATTTATTCTTTCAAAAATATTGTAAAGCAAATGAATTGTTAAATAGAATTAAGATTCAATCATGTATAGATCTTAGCATACGGCCGGATCACACCAACTTAATCTATTTTCTTTCTTATATATTTCTCTTTTGTAAATAGCTATGTAGATATATTATTATCTCTTTGTAAATGTTCTATTGTGTTATGGACGCCCCTTATGGAAACCAACTTTTGTTGATAATGCTAGCGTCATTAAATAAGGTTTTACATACATACATACAACTTCAAAACAACCAATTAGTCGCTCTCAACGTATACAGAGTCTTAAAAAACAACACGAAACTTAAATACAAAAGCTAGGCACATGTGAATAATTTGGATATTCTGAAGAAAACTTAATGAAGCTTAATAAAAAAACAATTAAAAACAGGTTATTACCCGATGGTTGAGGTGATATCAGTTTCTAATCTTGTCCTGAGGGCGATAACTTATATAACCGAGTCAATCATGCAGAGGCCGCGGAACCGGGGGGGCATTGGGGGAAGATGCCCCCCCACTTTTCGTGTAAGGAGAAAATGTGCCCTTTTTTAGAAGTAAAAGTGCCCTTTTTCTGAAATGATTTTCACATTTTTTCTGTGATGAATTTGCCCTTTTTAATTTTAAGAAATAAAGTGCCCAAGTGCCTTCTGTTTAACTGGCCTAATATTCGAGCACGATGAGATTATCTCAAGTTCATTCTTGTTTCTAAAAAATTTTTCGAATTATCACCGCCACCGCCGGTTTATTTCAAATCCGCACTTACAACACTAGACGTGATCTTTTGCGGTTACCTTTAGCTAAGCCTAAAACAATTAGTTATCAGGGCAGCTTTAGACAGGCGTTGAAAAACAGAGTAAAGTGTCGCTTTAGTCATAGGCTATACAGTGCAATTATTTGCTCTGAACAATTAATAAAATAATTATGTTTTATAAACTTGTATTTTTAGTTGATAAAATCTAAAAACGGAGGGTACCGTTTCAGTAGTTTTGTATATATATATATATATATATATATATATATATATTAATATATATATATATATATATATATATATATATATATATATATATATATATATAGTCTGATGGTCGCCTATGTGCGTGACACGCGATCGAGTATACAAATTGCCCCTTTTCGTCAGTGCCCCCCCACGTTTGACATGCTTCCGCGGCCTCTGCAATCATGTGATAACCTGTTTATAACATACTTGTGCCTTTATTCAGTTCTGCTTCAAATTTGACACATATTCCAGTTTATAGCAGTTTATAAATCATTTTGGTTTATAGTAGTATAGTAGCTTTCAAATCCTTTTGTCTGATTTTAAGTGTCTTATGGGAATTTTTGGACCTTAATAGTAAATGGACCTTAATATGTCTTTCGGTGTAAAAAACTGCCAAACTCCTACCTTGACGTATGAAATGCATGTTAATAGTAATACAAAATTAACTGTACACGAAAATCGTCAATTTCAATACAAAAAGCCAGTCTTGTCACTTCTTTGTTGTTCGTTTGGTTATTCTGTTATTGCAGTTCTTAATTTAGGTTACTGATTTCAACCAGAAACTTGCAGTAAACATATACTGCAAAGTTTCTTCAAATCAGATCCGCAAATCTGTTGATTCATAATAATTGTTGGACTCGCTAAGTAAATATGAAAATTACTTAGAAAATTTCGGATGTTTTGGCGACGAATATTAATATTGCGATAGATATACAGAGAATTTAGCAGTTATACATAATAGCGGTCGTTTTGTTGGAAGATTAGGATATCTAATAAGGATTTTGAAAGGGCTCTGAAAATTTCCTTACCGGCCATGCGGGCTTGTTCTGGCTTTAGTCCCTATTGCAAAGTGTCATACTTCAAGTAAGTCGTCTAGTTAAGCCGTCGCGGGATAAATTGCGTTAAGCGTGCACGACGCAGAAGTCAAACGTATTTTGTGCAACGCTCGATGCAACTTGTTTCCCAAATATTTTGGGCATTGCAAGGCATAAGGGACGATTATGTTTCGCTTCCGCCCAATAATGAGAATACTTTGAAAGAAATATTTTGCTTCGTAAGTAAATTGTGTCAGTATATCATCAGCTTGGGCAGTATATTAACATTAACCCATGTATGCCTAAAATAAGATCTCAAACAATGTTTAGCTAATATCATACGCCACGCCACGCCACGCCACACCACACCACACCACACCACACCACACCACACCACACCACACCACACCACACCACACCACACCACACCACACCACACCACACCACACCACACCACACCACACCACACCACACCACACCACACCACACCACACCACACCACACCATACCATACCATACCATGCCATGCCATGCCATGCCATGCCATGCCATGCCATGCCATGCCATACCATAACCATACCATACCATACCATACCATACCATACCATAACATACCTCAGCATTTGTTCTTCTGCTAACAGCATGGAAGCATTCTTTGTTGTAAGCGCTTCTTTACAGACTTTAACAGCAACATCCAACGATTCTCCTTCCTGTGTTGTCATCTTTCCTTTAAAAACATCTGCAAACGACCCATGACCAAGTGAGGGTTCCTTAGTGTACTTTAGTTTTTTAACGTCAATATCACTAAGGAAAACCCCATTGATGGCAAAAATGGATAAATCATCCATTATTTGAGAGCATTCTTCATATATAGGGGCGTATTTATTGGCATCTTGCAATATCGACCCACTCTCTTTAATAAGTAGATTAATGAATTCTTTGTCAGCGGCAATCATCGCTGGAATTTTTTTCTTCATCTCGTCCAGGATGTTGCGTATTTCTTCAAATTGCCGTAAGACATAGGCATGAAACTGAATTGGAACGATTGAATGACGAAGAAAATCGATAGCTTTGTTTTTCATATATTTCGGTTTATTGTTACTATACTCCTTAAGATTTCCCGACGTTTGAACGGCGTTTTTTATTGCAATGACACCTAAAACAGGTAGGCTAAGAATTCCAGCAACCAGTGCCACAGGTACCAAAATTGGAGATAGTACTCCGACCAAAATTTTTTCTCCAGTTGTCAGCGTTGCGTCGTCTTCTGTAGATCTGACTTCAACAGGATCTTGAACAACGTAATCTTCCACATTTTGTATACGCGCGTGAAGATTATCTCTTTCCCTTGTTATGTGATTGAACAATAGTTTCCGAGCATTTTCAATAACATGATTCCGATTTTCCCACTTTCTAATCTCCACTGTAAGCCTTTGCTTCAACGCTTCAGAAATTTTTTCCTCTGTTTCTTCCCAGGTTTTTTGCGCTTGGGGACATTCATCTTCATCCCATGACTTGAAATTGGTCTCAAAAGTGCTCGAAGAAAGGTATTTTAGGATTTCGTGAACTGTTTTCGCGGTTATCTTTTTAAACTCTTCTTCCAGGCGATCAACCTGTTTAATGCGTTCACCGTCAATCACCGCTAAGATAAAAATAGCTTTCGTAAGATCATTTGCCAAATTATCTCTTTGGGCTCGATTTATTACCAATTTTGTTTGAAATATCACCCTGGAAAGGACATCATTTAACCACCTAAAAAATAAAGGGTATAAATTTCTCTTTAATTTTAAATGACATAATATTCGAACCCTAAAAAACTATAAACCCAGTAAACCCAGTAGTAAAACAAGGGAAGACACGGGTTAACGCTATCAACACAATATACTTAGTACACGGAACAAAAGTTAACAGGTAACAAAATTTGAATTACTGCAGTTGCCATAGACGAGTCCTATATAGACGTATACGACCTTCCACAGGAAAACTTACGTTAACGCTTTTCAGTTCGTTTCAAAAATTATTTTTTTTTCATCGGATGTTCGTTTACCAGTTTGAACGATCAGCCTTTCGTTAAACGAAAACGATTTTGGAAAATGTTTGAAATTCCCATCCGATGGGATAAAAATATATGAAAAATTAATTGTTTAAAAAAACGTTCAAGCATTTTCATTTGGTGTTCAACGTTTCCCAAGATTTTGAATTTGATAAAACATTTGGTGAAACACTTGCAAAGTGCTAATTAACTTAACAAAAATTCAAAAAGAGTTCAAGCGCGGGAACCGGGCCAAAGTGTTTTTCAATTACATGGCAGTTTCAGCCCGGGCTGTGTTTATGACATGTCAGAATTATTTTGAGACAAGACTGAAATTTCAGCCGGGGGATTAAGTTTGTAAACGCTGGTAATAGACCTATTTCCATTCTTCGAGCGCTTTAAAATGCCGAATGACAATAACTTGACCTTTAAGGGACTATAATTGCACATAAAAATGAAATAAACAAACGAAAAAGCATTTTCAATGCAAATTTTTCTGCCCGGGTTTAAGTTTGATTACGATGACATGATACTGACAACACTAAATTCCTGCCTAGGTAGCTCAAACCGGGCTGCAGGAAACTGACGAAACGATCGTCCGGCCGTTCAATGTTCATCACAGTTTTCCTGCTGGATTTGAAAGTACGCACTTGAAATTTCATTGGACACCATTATGGAAACCATTATGGTCCGAGAGGTTAAGAGGAAATGATGTGAACTGAGTTAACTTGCGTGTTTGTGAGAGCTAGCTATGTATCATATGATCGTATTTGCCCATGCACTTTACTGCATGAAGAATTTTTTTTAATATATTGCCAGGAAAAAAGATGGTTTTCATGCGCTGTAGGCGCCAGTATATTTATTGAATTATAAATTGTAATATTGCTTCTCAATTTTTTAAAAACCTTATTTAATAGCAAATAGCAATATCCAAAAATACATCAATCATTAATACATAAATACATTCAAATGAAGACCGCTTGTTAACCACCACAGGCTCACTTGCAGATAACTCAGTATCTGCTAGCAGATAACTGGATTTTGCGTGATTGCGCGATTTATCTGTCAACTATTAGCCAATCAAATTGCTTTTACTACTATAATAGTTCACCACGTTTCCTGAGCAACTTGTACTGATGGTGGGGCAAGGATATATACAGCCTATACTGACGCATACACTTATAAGTAATAATGGAATCTCTATTATTAAACGTTATAATATGTGTCCCTTGACAGGAAGTCATTCAATTTCGCGTAGAGCGGGTGTAATGTGGTCGAATTTCTTTTGTTAATGGTGCAATTATGTCTCGAACAATAATCCCCTTTAATATCAATCCATTTAGTTTATATACATCAGGTTACGTCATTAGTTCATATTAGTATTAGGTAATGGTTAGTATTTACTAGAGCACATTACATCTCCCTTTTCTTGGAGATGTCAATATAATGTCAACGACTGTATTGTTATGTCTTCATAGCTTATGCCATAATTATGGTACTTAATTATTCAGTCCAAGGTTCTCTCCAGCTTTTAAAGATAGTGTCTTTTGTCTTCTTGGCCTGTTTTTCGTATTCGCTGACGAAGACGGGTTTTCCTGTTTCTCTTGTTTCATGGCAGCGTGCTGAATTATGGTGTAATTTGGAATACTACGCAGTTGTGCTCTGTTCCTTCTTATGACCGTTGTAGGAGTGTCAATCAAATATGATCTTGGTTTGTTGGATGTTCTGATTACTGTTCCTGTACAGTCCATGTCTGTTATATAAACTGCATGTAGTTCCTGATGTCAAAGGCTTCATTGTTTGAGCACTATGGCGATTATCAAAATTCTTCTTTTGTTTCAATTTATATTCTTCTTCCTTTGCTTTCAAATGTTCCTGGTTTGGTAGTTGCGTAGGTGTGAGCTGTTGTACCGTTATGGGTTTTGTTGATTTTATCTTTTTCCCCATGAGAAGTTCTACTGGCGAGTGTCCGCTTGCGAATGGTGTTTATCTATAATAGCGAGGACTAATGGTACTATGCTTGAATCCCCATTCTTTTGCAAACTGGGCGAACTCGCGTCACTGTGGTATTGGGGCCCATTGTCGGAATGTACTTCATCCGGAATACCGTGCCTGGCGAAGATAATTTTTAAAGTATTATCTTCCTTGAACTTGTATCTTTGTTTGCTGCCACAGCTTCAACATATCGAGAATAATAATCACTGTTGCGATCAGTTGCCATGGTCTTGCTGGGAGTGGCGTTGGGATCAACGGTTGTACATGCTGTTGTCTGTACTTGCTGCAAGGTGTACAATTTTCAACCATAGTTTTGATTTGTGCACTAAGTCCTGGCCACCAAACGGATATCATGGCTCGTTCTCTGCATCTGTTAATCCCAAGGTTTTTTTTTGAAGACTGGATGGAATGACTAGTCTTGTTCCTTTTAATAGTAACCCGTCAACAGTTGCGAGTTATCCTTGTACTGACCAGTATGGTTTTACTGCCCGGGTGACATGATCCTTGTCTGGCCATTGATCCATGCAGTACTTCTTTATTTCTTTGCATACCTCATCATCATCTTGAGCTTGTTGTATTTGTTTCAGTCTTGGATTTGATGCCGGGAGTGCTTCCATTACACTCGAGATATAGGTATTCATTTCCTGTTCTGCTATCGTTGGTTGAGCTGTGCCGTCAGGTATTTTTCTTGACAAAGTGTCAGCTGTGTAGTGTAGTTTTCCAGGTACGTGTCGGACTTCCTTGATGTGAAATCTCATGAGTCTCATCTTATAGCGTTGTAGCCTTGGAGGTAGTTTGTCGACCGTGTGCTGGGTGAGCAGGGGAACCAGTGGTTTATAGTATTTTTTTTTACTGACTTTCCATTGATGTAGTTTTTTGACCGCTCACATGCCCAAGTAACTGCCAGAGCCTCTTTCTTCATTTGCGCGTACTTAGTCTCAGTTGCTGTCATCGATCTTGAAATGAATGATACGGGTTTTCAGCTGTTACCTGGCTCGTCTTCTTGTAAAACTACCGCTCCAAGGCCTTACGACAAAGGATCAGCTGCTACTTCTATTTCTTTCTTGGGGTTATACAAGGTCAGAATTGATGTCAGGGTTTTCTTGATTTCGTCAAAGGCATTTTGCTGTGGAGGTCCCCATGGCCATGCCGTGTTTTTGACAAGCAGCTCCCGAATGGGTTTTGTCATGGCTGCGAGATTGGTGGTAAATTTGCCAAATTGATTAACCATATAAAGTAAGGAACGGACTTCATGTAGGTTGGTTGGTGGTGGTATTTACAGGATTGCTTGTATTTTCTCTGGGTCTGGTTTTATGCCATCAGATCCCACAATCTGACCTAAAAAATTCACGCTGGGAACGTTGAATACACTTGGCATCGCCGAGTCGTTGGAGCACCTTTCCCAATCTTTGGTCGTGCTCCTCTTGCGTTGTACCATATATTAGAACATCATCAATGTTGTATTTGGTACTTTCTAAACCTTCGAGGATTTGAGACATACACTTCTGAAACTTTTCAGAGCCGGAGCTTATTCCAAGGGAAGAACGTTAAAGCAATATCGTCCCCACGGGGTGATGACCGTTGTGAGAGGTCTTGCCCGTTCTGATAGTCTAATTTGCCAGAATCCCCAGTTCACATCTAATTTTGACAAATGCCGAGCACTAGCAAGGTTTGCAAATGTTGTTTTCACGTTGCACGTACTTGTTGAGCTTTGTGAGATCTACACATATCCGAACCTTTCCTTTGCTTTTTGGTGTTACCACCATCGGGGCCCACCTATGAGCCTCACGGTAGATGAGCGCATTGACTTGTTTCTTCTTCGTCTTTCTTGTCAAGTTCTGTAGCAATTCTTAACCGCTCAAAGCAGCGAATCTATTGGGACCATTCCGAGGATTAAAAGCTAAACTATATGATGGCGGTGTTATTTCATAGGTTGTAAAACTTAGCAAAATATTTTCTTCGTCGCCGTTGTTTGATTCTGCCATATTTATAAATAGTTATCTTTGTATAAATCCCACAGCTGCCACCATGAGCAATTATGTCTCGAACAAGAATCCCCTTTTATATAATGTCAATACACTTCGTTTATATACATCAGGTTACGTCATAAGTAAATATTATTGGTTAATGGTTAATATTTACTATATCACACTATATTATTTTATCCCGTCCTGGTGATTTATTTCAAGGCATGGCATTATAATACGTCAGATTTCCTCGCAAATAATAGAAGAGAACTTGAAAGCTTCACCGATATATTTCGGGGAAACACTTACTGTACGTTTGTTACATCGATTTGTGCGGCAGCATTTGCTGCTTGATTTCTTACAGAAGTGAAGAACTTTAAAACCATTGGCGACCTGTCTCATTATAGATTACTGTAGGTATATGTTGACCTGTCTCTTGTGCGAATGCTGATTATTTTCCACAACGATCCAACATTATTTTTGTAAGCAACAATAAACTTCGTTTCGTAAATATAATTTATCGCTGCATTTTTTTAGTATGTTTTTTGTTAGTTGGTGAGAATTCTTATATTCCGCGTTTGTTGGAAAAACTTGGAATTTGCGATGGCGATTACCCCCATGAACCACTAAACGTTTGATTTTAGGTGTACAAGGACGATTTCGGACATTTATTGTCCTGATTGGACCATGTTTTTCTAAGGTGATCGTGAGAACGTTATTGAACTTGCTTAATTTTCGGTTGACATCCTTCTTTGTGAAGATTGGTAGTGATATCTCCGGAGTGTATCTCTTGTATGATGTTACTGTGATGTAACGACGTGCAGGTTTGGGAGGCTTTGGTTTTAGGATCACTAATGGTAGTTTTTATGATGTCACTGTTATAAACGGAATCAGGCGCGAGGCCTGCCATTGAGTATAGCTGCGAAGTTTTCAATTTTGCCCTGCCCAACTATCTTAGTGACGCTATTGAGCAAGTACAAAGAAGTATCGCCTACGAAAGTGCAACCTTATTCCCCTAAGTGAACGGTGATACAAGGCCTGCTCAAAACTATTTCATCAGCTCATCAATGACTAACATCATAAACTATAATTCCTCCTACCAGACCATCACTCTGTGAATTACGACCTCAGGAAAGTCCCCAGTGTAGATTTTTGAATACTTTTATACCGGCGTGCATCATATACTTTACTAACCTTGGGCCGGTTGTTCAAAAGCCGGTTAAGCAAACCCTTGGTTAAATTATATTAACTATAACCTTAAATATTTTACTAAATAAAATGAACAAGCTAAGTCGATTGCATATGTATTATTACTTGAAAAATTATATAAATGTCAACTTTAGTCCTTGAAGATTTTTCCATTTTTGATGTTTTTCGTTTAAAGTTTCGGGACTTTTCCTCGAGCCTGCGCGGAGTGCAGTGCGAGGGTACTAATTCCGCCCGGAAATTAGGAATTTTACCCGGGTATTGTCATAGAACATAGCGGAATCCAAAGGTGTCCAAATTCTATGCCATGGATCGGGAACGTTGGACGTTAAATGGTCATGGTATTTGGCGCATGCGCGAAATATGAACGAATAAAGACTGGTAATTAGCAACTGCTGAATGGCTAAGATAAAATACTTGTATTTCATTGAAAAACGTCAGCAATTGAACTGTCATTTTTTAATTTTTTTTATCATGTTTCGTATTATAAGACTTTTTGAGGTGGCTGGATACAGTTTTAAAAATTCCACTGTTCATCACTTTGACACGTTCAAACAACGCATTTTTATGATTTATTCCAGAGATATTGGGGTTTTTGCATATTTTGATGTTGCTACTTTTGAGTCGTATTAGATTTTAGTCACAGATCGTCCGTTGCTATAGCGACATACGTGTACAAAATTCACTCCAAAATGACTAATTGCTTCGGATAGTTGGAAAAGAAGCACGGTGACCCCCAATTTTTTTTTCGTGTATTATTTTACTTGGAAGAAAAACTAACAATTAGCAAAATATAAAAAAATCTATAATGCCACATTTTTGAAAAATGCAAAAATGACATTTTTTTGATAATTTTTTTTCCAGTTTGGAATTTTTTTATATTTTGCTATTTGTTAGTTTTTCTTCCAAGTAAAATAATGCACAAAAAAAATTGGGGGTCACCGTGCTTCTTTTCCAACTATCCGACGCGATTGGTCATTTTGGAGTGAACTTTGTACACGTATGTCGCCATAGCAACGGACAATTTGTTACTAAAACTAATAAGATTCAAAAGTAGAAACATCAAAATATATAAAATCCCCAATATCTCTAGAATAAATCGTAAAAATGCGTTGTTTGAACGTGTCAAAGTGATGAACGAGGGAATTTTTAAAAACTGTATCGAGCCACCTTAAAATCAAAATGAACAAGACGCCTGTTCTGGCGTTAACTCCGGCGCACGTGCCAGTCTTCAATATAGAGCTTCTGAGCATAAACAATACAGTTCATATTCGCATTTAGATGCCTTACGAACCTAAATGTTCGATCGCGAAATTCAAAAGGACATCGTACTTTAAAAAGTATAGAAGTTCAATTGTTCAAAAATGTAAATAAACCGCATGATATATTCGCTTTGTCTTACACTTTGCCTTTGGAATTCGCGCTTATATAGTTATATTAAATCTTCAATCCTGTGCAAACTACGACGTTCAACGCGCCCATACACGACCACATCATCTTGTTAAACGGCGAAATAGCAGCAATATTATTAAAATAGGACCAAAATCTACATATATTAAATATATTCTTACCCCAATTCAATCTAAACTTAGTCGAAAAGCATGAAAAGAACGGTTTATTTGTTGCTCTTGGAGGAATTGCCGTATCATGCGAGTGAAATCGAATCGCGCATTGGAAAATTAGCCAAAGCTGTGCACCACAACTCTTGGCAGATTAGACTGGGACGTAGATAAATACGGTTACATACACATTTTAAATACTACAATATTTCGCGCCATTCAGACTTGCGACGACGAAAAATAAAAAAAACAACAAAAAAAAACAACAAAACAAAACCGGGGCGAATTTTCAACTCCGTCGCTGACGCCGGAGTAAATATTGAATTAAATAAAATGATATAAACACTGGGAAAAGATTAAAAGATTATCAGAAGAAACATCAGCTATTAAGTAATTTCATTTTTATAAGTAAGGTAAGGTCTATTATTATTGGTAAGGTCGGGCTTGCTCAGGAAATATTTTGTATCGTTTAAAATGGCGAGGGGATGCTGCATGGATGTATTTCTAGTATAGTAATAATATTATGACACTATACCTCCACTCAGCTTGAAGTCTTGCAGCAATAGTTTTGAGCATCATTGTTTTGATTGCGTCCATAACTGTAACAAACGGTTCAGATTTAATCCCGAAACCTTGAGCTTCAACCGCATTGGTGGTTGACATTTGAACCACCTGGGTCTTTGGATTCAAATTTGGCCATGTTTTTCTGAGACGATCGATTGTATATTTTTTGACATCGGTTTCTTCATTACTTTTGATTAGGTCCCATTTATTACAGACGAACACGGCACGTTCACAAAGAAAGCATTCGGGGGATTGGCTTTTAACTCTCTCCAAAAGCTTGAGTATCTAGGAAAAAATTCTTTTATGAGTGGTATAGTCATACAAATGACTAATGCATCAAATTTATACCCACTTTACAGCTACATAGCTACGTACTGTATTTGGGCCATTTTGCAATCTGATTGGTCGAAAATACCCATGCACCGTATTGATGCCCATATAAATTATTCTCAGTGCGTAATTATAGGGATCCAAGGATATAGTGCAAAGTTTCCATGCCTCTATAATACCTAAGCAACCAGACGTTTATCCTAATATAAATGAGTCGACTTCTACCAGTAAAAATCTAAGGAGCCCGGTTAAACATTACCCTGAATCATGCAGGAATTCTATTTTTAACAGTTAATTACTTTGATTGCTGAATATTACAAAAAACGGGAACATGGCAATATTTCTATATATATACTTCCTTTAGCAAGGTATACCTGTTAGTTTTGAAACGCATTTAATTTATATATATATTAATATATTTTACATATAAAGTCACCATTAATTAATTGTCTGTTTACGCATTGATTGCTTATTCTATTCTGTCGAGTTCGAAATATCAGCGCACCACCTACATCTCGTGCGACCCGTGACTGCAAACTATCGTTCTGTCCGTGAGAAGTACAATACCTTGTCTTTGTAGTTCCAAATAATTATATTTGTTCTATGGTTAAATGCGTACTAAACAGTTGCCATGCAAAAGGTACATTGTGAAAATATAATACAAAAGCATGGAAATATTATACGCAAAGAACTCAAATTAAAAATATAACGTTGTTGAAATGTTGATAAGATTTTGAATTATTCAACGAACTTTAGAGAATTAATTTTGCTATGGCTGATGGTTTGACAAATTATCTCAAAAAAGTTCAAGTATGGTGTCTGAATTTACTATGTAAATTATTCCAGACTTGTGAGTTAATGCAGTTTTCAGTATAAAGTTACCACTCACAACGAGCTAGTTTAATGTAAGAATGGGAAGACGTCCGAATTGTTGTCATAACATGCAGTGGCATGACCATATATTATATACACTTCAAATCTGAAAGATGCTGAAAAGGTACCACTGAACAGTAAAGAAGTCTACTGGAAACATCTTTTACAGACAAGAACGAAAGAAATAAAAAGGATTTTTGGACATTTCCAACTGGGACGTACAAGAATTAACGAGAACTAATCTCAACTGTAAAATATCCCTTGCTCATTAGCAGGAAAGTGTTTACAAGAAAACATAAACGAGATAAGTGGTGTAGAATTCCTAAACAAATCGGCTCCATTATGAAATCCAATCAAAGGTCACTTTGTTTGACACTAAAGAACAAAAAAATAACGTAAAATGTGAGCTAGAGACAACAAGAAATAAAAAGACTTCAGCAAGACAATGTTCACTCACGAAAGCAGGGTCACGTTACATGGGCCCGACGAATGGTCACAAGCTTTAGTTAGGCTTTACAAAACAGAGTAGCGCCGATAAGCAAGAGACAACAGCAATGTGTGGATGGAATCATTATGTAGGCAGGCATTCATGGTGATAACCCTATTGGGACATAATATTAAGTTTACGGGGAGAGTTGACAAGTCAATGTTATGGCCAATTTTTTGAAGAAACATTTTATAAGTGGTATGAGTCTCAAAGTTGTTTTTTTTAAGATAAATAATTGTGATTTTATCCATGATAATCTCCCCTCGCGTGCTGCTAATGCAACTCTTAATGCAACTCTACTAATGCAACTGTTAATTTTTGATCATTGGAATGCTATAAAACAACTTGTAAAGATGTAAAATTCAAAGCAATTGAAAAACAAACTACGGATATTAGTGTTAAGGCGGACATATTTGAATAGAAATAATTAATAATACGGGTGTTAGTATCTGTTGTTTGTATAATCTGTTACTGCATGTAAATTGTATTTGAATGTAATGATTTTCTTGTGTGACATCTGGCATTTATTTGTCCCTTTTTTTTTGGAAATATGAACTCGTACATGTAATGGCACCGATAATAAACTCCGACACCATAATTTTATTCGGTCGTTTGTAAGATAATTTGTCAAACCATCAATCATATATATAGCAAAATTAAACGGTTGTAAATGCCATCATTTCATCCGTGAAGATTTTTCAAATAATTTGACACATAGGAACTGGTAAGGCTAAATAAAACTGATTTGCGTAATAACTTTAGACAAACTGTACATATAAGTGATCAAACAAGTTGTGGTTATAAATAATGGATATTTAAAGGATGGGTAACTTACCCGATCACTTTGAACTCCCCCTGCATTACTGCTGTTAATGACATAAACAAAACAAAACGCGGTCAGAAGATAATCATTCACAACATCATCTAAAACATTTGATTCGCCAATTCCTGGACTGTCAACAATGACTATGTTATTCTATAAAAACAAATGAAAAATTGCAAATTCTCATTACATCGCTTCGCTTGTCAGTTCGGCGGGAAAAGTCCCGTGTTTCTGTACAGTTATAGAAACACGCTTCTTGACCAATCAGAAGGCGGGTCTATAAATATTATATTATAAATGCAGTTAATAAACTATCAAATATGGATAATTCTACCCGGCAATTACAGTAAACGTCCACATATCAATAAACGCGTGTATTTTCTTTCAAAACACTAAATGTGGCTTTTACAGTTAACAAATTGCGCAAGAAAGCACAACCTGATAACGACACATTTCGAATTGAATCAAATTATCCTGACAGTAGCACGGATGGATGAGCGAACTTTAAACTAATAGTGACACAAATTTCAGTAGAAAGGTATGAAACAATGGCAAATGGTAAAGATATAGGTAAAGATATCCCTTATCTTGTGGACGTTTTGCTGTAACCCTGTAATTGCATGATGAATTTCTTAAACACTAACTGCATGTATTTGTCGCACAATATCAAAACAATTTACACCCAAGACTATAATATGTATGGTGACGTTAGACGAATTTATACACGATGCACGCTATAAAAAATTGCTATTTACTGCCTGCTGCACAAAATAGGATTTTCCCTCTCGCGAGTCGCGTGGCTTTCACGATTAATGTGCACCTCCCTAGCGGTGTATACATATAGTCGCCGCTGTTGTTATGGACTACAAAAATTAATATTCAGCGTTCTAGCAGTGATTACGAGGAGGGCGGTGTCCAAAATGAAAGCAAAATGTAATATCTACTGGTAAATATTAAATTGAATTAATCTCTTGATTACCTTAAGCAAATCGTGAGGCCAAAATAGTTCACATTTTTTGAAGGGTGATCCTTTTTCAAGGTCACCCCTTTGATTCAAATATTCTGCCAGTTGATCAAGATAGCTCTGTCCTTCTGCTGGGTCTCGTAAGATAAGCTCTTCTTTGGTTGTCGTCTCGGATTGTAAGGTACGCTTCTCTGGTTTCTGCTCATCTTTGTAATATGCTACAAGCTTTCTTACCTCTCCATATCTTAATTCACAAATAGTTGCTGTCGCAGGCAGGTTACAAGATGGAAGAATTTCTTCTCCAAGGATTAGGTTGATGAAACTACTTTTTCCGGCGCTAGTCTCACCTGGATGGTAAAAATGAATAAAATATAATTGACTTTTCACCTTCGACTGCATGATTTGGAGTTTCTCGTGTATTTGGATAGAAAGTATTTGCTATTTTTAATTTAAGGGATAAATATCTCGAAGGTTATGCGTCTGAGATATTTTCCCTACATGTCATTCTATTAGGCCTAGCATTCTAAACGGGGAATTTTGGTTAAAGCAATACAAAATTTCGATTGTTAAGATATGATTTTCAATAGACACGGCTTTCATGGAAAACAGGTTCAACTATATTAATGTATATAGGCTTGTACTTTTATCTTCATTATTTTTTTTGTAGCTGAAGCTCCCGTCTTAGACAAAGGTTGATTGGATTGCATTGGATTGAGCTGTCGCTATATTACTTAGCCTTCGGCTAAACGAAGTACAATTATTTTAGTTTATCACAATTTAGAGTTTGTACTAAAAATTTGTTAAATTACCTCTTTTAATTTTTGAGAAATCGTTTTTTAATTGTATAAGCAAAATGAGATTATTCGTTTGCTAAAAAAACGAAATCACTGGAAAGGTTTGGCATATATTCAAAAATTATGGAGATCAATGCAATATAACAATGAGATAACAGAATATACTAATAAAACACTTTTGTTAAAAACCTAATCAATAAAATGTTTTCTTAAATTCTCGTACTCTTTAAATAATCATTTCGAAGAGAAAAGATATCCAGGATTGATTATGGAAACTTTTCAAATTGTATCCTATAAAATTTTCAAAACAATTTAAATGGTAATTCTTTTCTATGGTACCCGCATATTTAATTGCGAAGATCAATAATTAAAATAGATCATGACAATTCTTGATATAAAAAGCGCATACGAAATAGTTCGGCATGCTTCTTTCCTCAAATACCATATAACCTCCAAACCACTCAATCCACATGCATAGATTTCCTAACTTCATGCTCACACCCCCTATGCTTAACTAATTTCGTTTAACCGAGGCGAGCCCGGGGTTGCTGCATGCATGTATTTCTAGTTACATATGAAATAATTTACACAACAAAGTATAGCACAACTAAAACAAATGTCGAATTTTCCTTGCCATAATGTGATATTTTACAAAATTCAAGGTAGTAATGTACTTTCGCTTAGAATTTTCTGCAGAAAATTCTGGTTTTAGTAGTCACGGTGAAAAGTTTATTCTTCAAAATTTCCCACTGTGACTATTAAGACCAGAATTTCCTATCACGGCTTGTTTCGTCATTATACATAAGCTCTATCATAATGGTATTCATAATTTGAGATACTTTTACTGTTGACATTTTATTAGTAATATTACCTACCTGCAATAAGAACAACATATTCTTTAACTTGAAGCTTATTCATCCTTAGCTGAATTTCACCAACGATGTTTTTAACGCAAAACTTGGTATTTAAACTCTGCAGCATTTTCTCGTCACAAGTTTTTAAAGCATCTTCCACCCTCTTATAGAGACTCAGTAATTCTGTCCGCTTCCATACATCCATGTTTTTTGCATCTGAAAATACGGAAAATGCCTGAAAATAAAAGGGAAAATACTTGTAGCCACATCTTTTATACCAAATATTTTTAAACATAATATTTTTAAACTAGAAATAATGCATGCAGCAACCCCGCGTCATTTCAAACGAAGCAAAATATTTCCTGAGTTAGCCAGACTTAACCCTCTAAACTTTGCCGATGAAGCCGATGTTTGAAATTATATTCGGAAACAAACACAGTCATATAAAAAATGAAGTGAAATCGCCCACTTTTCTGCATGCTGCATTGGCTACGTTGCAGTTGAATGCAGTCTATAGACTCTCACAGTTTAAGTGAGAGTTAATACTTCACTATAGCTAAACCTTCAAACACTCCCCAAACGTCGAATTTTTTTTCGATTATTGAATTTATGCAGTGATTTCAGTCGACTCTATAAAAAGTGATATTTGTTGTTTCTCCATATTTAAACAGCTAAACACCAGTCCAAAATAGGCTTTTAATCGAAGCCGGCGGTAAAAACTACTAATGAATTAAAGGAATACTAAATGGTTTTCCGTGCAGGATTACGTGATACTGCACTTCGGAAATTGCTCGACTTTCGGAAAGCGTGAAAAAACACTCGCCGTTTTCTTTATAAAATAACTACAATGAGACGACAGTCAAATTTCCCGCGCGAAGCGGCATTATAAACTTTCCGTGCAGGATTGTCTTATACTGCACGCAAACGAACCAATCAAATTGCGTGTTTCATTGTAGTTATTATATAAATAATATTAACTATTTGCAAGGATTACTTATTACAGATACAATAGACAATACATACAAACATTTTCTTACGTCTTTGCTGGATACCAAGGTATGCTAAAATCTCCGATCACATGCATGTAAAAAGAGGAAAAAATAAACCGCGTGCAGTGCTTTCGTTCAATGTGATTGCTTTTTTAAAAGCTCAAAAACAGTGAACTCAAATAGATTTGGAACGATAGATAACTAAATACTTTCGGGGTCTGAATGGTTGAAGCCAAACATAGCGCCAGTAATGGACATCTCCCCCCGGAAACGACCGCATGCTAAATTGCTTTGGCGTCCGATCCCGACGTTCGAAGCGAAGGAATTGCCGTGAAAATATAAATTTGTCTTTTGCTTTGTTATTTTTGGCGAATGTTTGCCATAATGTCACCTGGTTTATTTCAAAGCAAACAAATATATTTTATACATATATTTGGTGATAATAAATACTCTTGTTTTTAAACTTTTTTTTTCTCTCCACAAGGGCCCAATTTTTACCAAACTAAGAAAGTAGTATTTAAGAACAATATACACTATTTTTGTGGTTTGAAGATCTAGGTGTACCCCAAACTTTCAAAAAACGCGCGAATTTTTTGTCATTTTCGTGTTTACTTCAATATTATTTCGTAATGGCAGCATTTTTGTTAAATCTGGTTACACATTTGAGAAATTCAGTCATCATTCTTCGGCTTTACGTATATTATACGAAGCTAGTGCAAGATTTAATATGAAAACTTCATCGATTTAAAGATGTTTATATTTTTAAAAAAATATATAAAAAAGTTTGGGTCTACCTGCAAACTGAGCACAAAGTCGGCTTCAATTTCTCCCCCTCAGTTATCGTTCCAGATGTATTAGAGTTCACTGCTCCAAACAGACTGGGTATGCATGAGCTTGATTTAAATAGTTTGTGACGTAATATCACAATATTTGTTATATCAAGACTCCGAATTGCATTTTCAATAACTCGTTTTGAAGTTACAACGATTATTTAAAGCATTAAATAGTCGGTTAGGTCTTCGCATTATCTCATACCTAGTGTAAAAGTTGGTTCCGGGCAGGTAGGCTTTTTTCGAGCTCACCTGCTGTTCCGAACTCACCGCGGTGAATTGATCGGCAAATTGATCGCACCAAAAATTGATCGGCAAAATCAATAAGCATTGGTAAATCAATAAAGTTGAATGTTTAACCTTTTCCCAGTTTTATGTATACCGTTTCATTTGATTCCACATTTCATTTTCAATTTTTTTAAAAGAATAGCTTGCAAAATGACAGTTAAATTGCTGACGTTTTTCATTGAAATGCAAACTTTTTGTCTTAGCCAATCAGCAAGTTGCTGATTACTGGTCTTTATTCGTTCAAATTTTGCGCATGCGTTTAAGTATACCATGACCATTGAAAGTCTAAAATGTCTAAGTTTCCTTATAATGTTTTTATCATAATAATTTATAAAAGAGTTCCTTAAGCGATTCGTACTTGCAGGTGGAACTTATAAAGTTCTTTTTTTCCCGTAATTTTCTATTGCCTGCTTAGGATGGTAGAAATTTGGCAAGCTTGTGGTCAGCATTTGATACAATATCATTGAAGAGTTTATCGGACAAATATTCGCGTCTATATTCCAGGGTGGAGATACCAGCTTTGAAAAGAGCATCACTATAGGACAGGTCTGGATACATTGTGCTCAATGCTCTCTTTTGTATACGTTCAATATCTTTTGCAAGATATTGTGGCAAGGAACTATGAAATAATTAGCATGCATATTCGAGAACAGACTTAATGCAGCTACAGTAAAATTTGACTAAGTCTCCCGAAGCCACATCAGTACGTTAGTAGATTACCTCCCCCCCCCATATACTGATGAAAAGGATGCCGTCAATGACGTCACAATGGGTGTGCATGGGGGTGCCACGTGAACATTTCGTGGGGATACATAATAGTTTCGCGTGAACATCATAGATGATGCATTTTGCGTACAATGACGTCATACTAAATGTACACGGGAGTTTCACGTGTACATTATGCGTTTGATGTGCGTGGTGTTTATAGGGTATGATATAGGAATCAAAATCAGATTTTAGTATGGATTATTTATTATTTCGATTTGTTGAAAAATCATGGTACAGTTCGATTTGTCTCTAAAATAATTTTTTTTAATATAATTTAGGTACTCTACGACTATTAAAAAGATAGTGATTTAGGATTGTTCTAAAGTCTTTTGTTCTAAAGGCACTTAGACTTACGGTTCGTTGTATTTTGATCAAATACGCAATAATCAATAAGTAAAAATTAATGTTTGAGGGAAATAAGAACGAGTTTAGTAGAAACATCTGATCACGTCTCAGCATGCAGTCGGTGACTTCTATCCACCAATTATTATCGTAACTCATCGGCTATGACGTTTCGCCAATGTACACGTCGTACCCGATTGGTTCTTTGACGTTCAGTCTTTTTCCTCCAAGTCAGCTTGGAGCCGTGACTCAAGATCAAAAAAGCAGGACCTTGCTTCTTTACAAGAAACGCGAGTCATTCCCAATTCCTTGAACAGAAAATTCCTCTTAACTGAAAGCCATCCATGTCGATTATTCTGACAATGTTCTCCATCGCTTGTGTGGTGATTTATGTGACGGGGTTTATTCGCTCCATGTATTTATTATATCTATGTACGTAGGGGGCGCTGATGTGGTGTATACGTTGACAATTTGCGCGGGCATTGTATACACATACCGGATACATGTGGATAATGAAACAATGTATATACGTAAACAACGCGTGTTGTCTACGTTGACATTTTGCGCGGGCATTGTATTATTTGTATACGCATACAAGATACATGTGGATAATGAAACAATGTATATACGTAGACGACGCTAATGTGGTATACGTTGACATTTTGCGTGAGGATGAGTCATGTACAGTTTATGGCTTTATGCGATGAGCACTTGCGCATAACTGCTCATGAGCACATGCTCATCTGCTCATAGAACTTCATTATACTGTTCGGTAACAAGACACTCCCAGGGGAGGTTTTTGTTAGTAAAATGAAAATTAATGTATGACCTAGCATGGGAAATAAAAAAATTTCAGACATGGATGATTTTAACATTTATTTGTCTTGCAATTGTCTGGGAATTAGTTACATGCAGCAATAGAAAATAATTACTTCTAAATCGTTATCGCTTTTTGCCCGTTTGCCATGGTTTCCTTAAGAAAGGTTTAGTAAACCATTTGGCTGAGTTTAAATTCTAATCTTCATCATCATTATCGTCATCATCATCACTGCTTTATTTTCTTTCACATCTTCAATCTCGTGGTCGTTTAAAAGCCTTTTAATGAGGAACTTTCTCAAATCAACTGCAGCTTCTATTGCTTCTTCTGGGTCAAATCATCATTTTGAATAAACGCATCTTTTGTGTGCATTATTTTCTTATGTGCTGGATCTTTCTTTATTTGTCTCATCCACAAAAGGCGCTCTAAGTAGATATTTCTAACTCTTTCTGGAGTCTAGGCATAACATTGAAGTAAGCTTTCTCTTTAGCGGTATGTTCATCGAGACCACTGCTTATAAGACTTTCTTCCATTTCCTCAAAAGCAGTGTTACTTCTCTGTTTTGCTTCCTCTATTAACGGTATCCAGGGGTCCATTTCTTCTTCAGATTCTGAGTCAGACACTGTCGAACTTCCAGACTGATGAGTTGAAGTGGTCAAGACATCATCTTGGAATTCTCTTTCTTGACTGTCCAAGTCTGTTTGAGATATGTTTTTTTTCTTTTTCTCGTAGTGGACAGTCTTCCCGTTCGTGTCTGCGCTGATTGTAACCGCGGCTAAAGTATCTTCCGCAAAATTGACAGCTCATTCCCTTACCACTGGAGGAGTGGGAATGCCTTGTTATCGAACAGTAATGCAGTTTTATGAGCAAACGAGCATGTGCTCATGAGCAGTTATGAGCATGTGCTCATCTGCTCATCGCAGTTATGAGCATGTGCTCATCTGCTCATCGCATTAAACTGTACCCGGTTCATTGAGATTTTTTAGGCCCAAACTCCTATAGTTAAGAATGCAAGAATGTGCTTATAACTGCTCATGAGCACATGCATGCTCATTGGTCCATCGGCCAAAATCATAGATACTTGATTTTTGAATAGATTGATATTGATTCAGTGTCTTTTTCAAGCTTTTGTATAGCAAATACAAGTGCTCGAGCAAAGCACATTTTTTCAGTGTTATTAATACGTATTATTATATGGCAA